ACTCACAATACCAAATAAGCAGTTGAACTGGTCATACTGTTCTGCGGTGAATGTTTTGAAATGATCTGGTTGGCTTGGACTGCTGTTGTAGGTATCGATAGTCTGCAACGCTGTATCAACGACGTATATCCGCTTCGACTGCTCTTTGGGAACAACGATCGCTTGCCTTGAAACAGCTGGCGCGAGGATCACTACGTGTTGTTGGTTAATACGACGTAGTGTATGAATAATGTTTATTAAATTTTTTTTTTTTTGATAAGATTGTCCATATTGATAAGGTTGTTGATATGATAAGATTGTTGATATTGATAAGATTGTTGATATAATAATATATCAATAAATTGATATGTTATCAACTGATATCGATGTTGACTAACGATTTCCACTATCGATTTTCGCTATCGATTTCCACTATAGATATTCGCTATCGATTTTCAATATCGATTTTCGCTATCGAKTTTCACAATCGATGTCCACTATCGATTTTTGTTTTTCACTAGTCAACGATTCGGGCGGCGCTCTGTATGCTTCACCCAAACGTGTGTTGAATAAGAAAAAGGAATAATATACCTGTTGTTTCAGGATTTCTGAGATGAATGAGATTCTGGTAGATTGTCTGCGATTTTCTTGGATGTTTGTGGATGGTCTGAAGTTTCTGTTGAGTCTTGACGAAAGCAAAATGCGTCTGTYCACTACTTATACACGGTATATAAAATACGATCATTAATTTGCCAATTTAGTAATTATTATTCTTGAGCGTAAAACTAGAATACTATCGCATCCGTCCGCTGCCACCAAAAATGTTATGTTTTTACACAACAAATAAAATAACGCACGCAAAATATTATTTTTTTTTTTTTTTAATGCCCTGGGGCTTTATTATTTAAACGACCCAAAGGTTATAAATATGTTTGACAATTACACATATTTTACATACTAGATATAATATATATATTAAACGTTGATGGAGTCACTTCCAATGAAGTGTCTCCTGCCTTAATCTAATTATATAGATATAGAGTATAGAGCCGTATAGAGTAAATACAAGATAGGTCCTAAAACACTACCTTGCGGTACTCCAGCTGATATATCTTTCCATTCGGTTATCGCTTCTTCGTGTATGACTCGAAATTGACGGTCAGTCAAGTATGATTCAAGAAGTGCACACCAGATGAGGAGTCTTTTGTGCCAGATTTTGTCAAAAGCCTGAGCTACGTCAAGGAATACTCCACAGCAGTACTTTTTTTCTTCAAGAGCTTTACTAATCACATTAGTAACTCGATGTACTTGWYCRATTGTTGAATGTTTRTTGCRAAATCCAAACTGATGTTCTGGTATAAGATTTTTTTCCTCTATAATCGGTTTTAGGCGTTT